CTAAATGAAAAGCAAAAGGGAATTGAATCTAAAAACTCTGTTCTCTGTGCCTAACAATTTGGCTGCAGACCAATATAGTAAATAATATTTTCACTCATAGAATCTACCAGTTGATGATCACTAGCAAACTAATTGACTTTCCCTAGACCAGGGGTGTCAAACTCACATCGTCACGACCGCATCACGTGATGTATAGGGACTTTCTGCCCCCCTTTGCTAAACCGGGTGGGGGCGTGGCTAGCATGTGATGCATACAGCCGCAGGCCATGAGTTTGACAACCTTGCCTTAGACGATCACATCACAGCATAATTTTGCTAGATATTTATAATACAAAACTTTAAAAAAATGGATTTCCAATTTTATATTCCTTAGGTGATATTGAACTCTACTAAACATCACATATATACACACATACACACACTCACACACATATTATTATATTATTACATTATAGTGCATTACATTACATTATATCATTATATGTAAAATTTAAATTATATAAACATTATTATAGCCTTCCATCCTTCCAAGATCGGTAAAATAAGGATGTAGATCATTGGGGGCAATATGCTGACTCTGTAAGCTGCTCAGAGAAGGCTATAAAGCACTTGGAAGTGGTATATAAGTCTAAATGCTGTTGCCATAATGAAGGTGAGACCATCAGACATGTGATTAAGACAATTCCTCTTATGAAGCCTCAACCTGTCCTTTAGAAGTGGTTGTGGCCTATAGATTAAAGGTTTACATTCACATAAATTATATATATTTGTAAATAAGCACAAAATAGAAGTTTATGACATAGCTGTCACATACTGTTAATGTCATAATATGTATATTTTTGGTTCAGTTTTTAAACATATAAAAGACTAATACAATTTATTAAAAAAAGAAGCAGTTGTGGATTAAGTAGCATCTGACTGTTTATTAAGAAACCAACTGGGCATTGCTGATGTCCTGGAACTTTGCCAGATAAAACTAATAAACGCCCTTTTCAATGGATTCAAGAAAAGAATCTCGTCCTGTGAATCTTTGGAGCTTAATGGCTATAAGTCTTCTCAGAATGGATAATTCTAAGGATTAAAGGCAAGCAGCTTGGGGCATGTGAGTGAGTAGTATATTGATTTCTGATAAGTTACATAAGGTCGGATCTGCTTTTCATCCAATTTCACCACTAGCACTTTAAGTTGTCCATTAGTAATTATAAATGTTTATTACCCACCACTTATCTTCCACCTCATTGTTTAGTGTTCCAAGCAAACCAAAGGACATACTTGGGGAATATATTTTCTATCTGCTTAAATTGCTGCCAGACATTACTATCATAATGTCATGAGGCATTTGCGTTTGGCTTGGATCAGGCAGTGAAAAGCTAATTGCAACATATACTATGCTGCTTCTATCTGCTTCAGAATGAAGCTATCAATATTTACTTCTGCTGTTCAAAAGACTATATTCCTAAGGTTGGGAATTATTTCAAATAATTAAACTTGGTATACCACCTGACTCCCGGTGACCCTCCAGAGCTCACAAAGTAAAAACACAGGAAAAAAATAGAAATAAAATATAGCAATGAAGACAAAAAGATGGCAAAATTGGGCAACAAGGAAAACATATGCACACTATTTAGAACAGGGGTCTCCAACCCTGGCAACTTAAAGACCTATGGACTTCAACTCCCAGTTGAATTCTGGGAGTTGAACTCCACAAGTCTACAAGTCTTAAAGGGAGTTGAAATCCACAAGTCTACAAGTCTTAACAAGGAGTTGAAGTCCACAAGTCTACAAGTCTTGCCAAGGTTGGGTGTGGCTAGCACATGATGCATCCGGCCTGCGGGCTGCAACTTCGACAACCCTGCCATAGGGGAAAGGACCAATAATGTCAAAAAAGTGGTCATGTCCAGTTGATCAAAGCCCCACCCCTTTTAAATGCATGTTACATGCACTGCATGCATGCAGAAAGAGTGGAGATTTATTTGTCCAGTTGCACCTGCCATTTTGACGATGCTGACTTCTTCTGTGGATGTTTGTGGTTGCTGCACAAACTTGCCTCTTGCCATGATATGCAAAGTTTAAACTTCAGTCTACTCACTGATGACTCCCTTTTAGAAGGCAGGAAATTAGGAATGAACAACATGGGAAAGAAAATAAGTACCCAAAGTTGCAGTGTTTATCTTAATTTCCATTTAAAATTAGTGGTGTTTCTTCACTGAACTGTTCTTTTATATTGGTCTTGTAGCGTTCAACAGACTAACCCGCAGTCTTCACTCCGGTCCGCACTTCAAGCAGGAACGCGGACCGCTCCTATTGGTTGATGCCGTTTGACAGCTGGCTATAAAAGGAGCTGTCAAACGGCATCAGCTGTTGCCGCCAGCTGACTGCCCTGTTAGCACGGCAGCCGCGGCAACCCTTTGTTCTTGTAATAAAGTTACAGTTGATATTCGCTCTGAGTCTGCCTCAGTGATTACCGCCGCTCTACAACACTGACGAAGGCGGGATACAAATAAGAGGCAGCCGGACAAAGAATCGCTGAGCTCAGTCACTACAAAAAGAGCTGAAGTCACTGATAAAAAAGATCCCAAATTTCATAAAATTGTTTATCCTCTTGCTCTCTAATTTCAAATGTCAATCTACTCATCTCAGCACATTCCAATATTTTCTTAATAATTTCTTCCTGCGATGGTATTTTCTCATTCTTCCAGTTTTTAGCAAATACAATCCTAGCCACTGTTAATACATTTACAATCAGACATTTCAAGTCTTTACTGTATGTATCTGGTAAGATTCCCAATAAAAAGAACTCCGGTTTCAAATCTATACGTTTCTTTGTCATTTTTTTCCAATATTGGAATTTTAGTCCAATATTTTCTAGCGTCCTCACAAGTCCACCACATATGGTAATATGAGCCAGGTATCTGATGACATTTCCAACATTTTTCAGATTTATTCTTGAACATTCTTGCTATCCTCGTCGGGGGAAAGTGCCACCTGTAAAACATCTTATACAAATTTTCTTTATAAGCTGTTGACATTGTCATTTTATAATTTTGCGACCATAATTTTTTTATCAATGGCTAGATGACAAAATACAATAATAGAATATTTAGAATGTTAGACAGCAAGGAATATCTTTATTATTATTTTTTTGCTTTTGTTATTCGACATTATATATATAAAGTGTTTTTAGGATAGATCTGGTATAATTATATGATTTGTTATAGAATAAACTGTTTAAAGTATTGTTATCTCATAAAGCATGAATGATTAAAAGTATAGTCAAATGATTTTTTAATAGTGATATTAGGATGTATAAGTTTGGATTGACAATATGAGTTGTTATGTAATATAACTGTAATTGAGACTATGAAATGAATGCACAAAACTGATGAACCAACCGACACACTGTATGTACATAAGAGAGTTGATGTTTTAATGTTTGTTTGTCTTGTTTGTTTGTAGAAAATCAATAAAATTGTAAAAAAAAAAAAAAAAGAGCCGAAGTCACTAAGAGCTGACTGTCATAGCTGTTGACACTATTCGCAAGCATGAAATTCAATTTCCCTGCAGAAGAGAACCGCCAAAGCAAGATGACTTCAAACACTGCGTTCCCGCCTTTCAGACCGACGGCTGAGACATGGGAGTCCTACAGAAGCTGATTTGACTGCTTTCTAGATGCTATAGACCTTGCTGACGCTACAGCCCATAGGAAAAAGTCCTACTTTTTAAGTTTTTGCGGAGCCACAGTATTTGACTCTGCCACGGCATTGGTAGCTCCGCGTTCTGTCAGGGCTGTTCCTTGGGAAGAATTGCAGGAAATTCTTTCCAATCACTATTCCCCTAAGCCATCCCAAATTGCCAGAAGACATGCTTTCAGGAGACGAATTCAAGCTGAGGGAGAAACCATTAGTGAATACATGGCTGCCCTACAGACAGCCGCTTTGCATTGTGGGTTTAGAGACTATCTAGAGGACATGCTATTAGACCAAATAGTCTGTGGAGTCAGGGATTTAAGGCTACAAAGGCATCTATTGGCTAAACGAGACTTAACCCTGGCAGTAGCTATTGAAGAGTCCCAAGCTGCTGAACTATCTTCACTTTCAGCAGCAGAAATTCAGGGGAATCCAATTAGCCAGAGTAGCTCAGCCATCCTTTACGACGAGGCATCTTTAGAAGAAGGCTCTGATGGGGCTAACGATGTAAATCGCCTCAGGCAGCAGAAACCCATTCAAGAGGAAATCAGGCCAAACCCCATTCTACCTCCCTGGCATCAGCCCATTTGCCTAAACTGTGGGGGAAACCATCTCAGGACATCCTGCAAGTTCAGGAATGCCATTTGTCTGAAATGCCAAAGGAAGGGTCATTTAGCCAGGGTCTGTCAAGCAGGAAAGACTTTTGCCCAAAAGCCTCAGACAACCCCAATTTTTCAAAGGCAAGTTGAAGACTGTTATACCTGTTATCACGCCAACCAGACAAACAAAGGCTCTAACAAAATTAGTGTTTTTGTCTCCATAGAAGGTAAACCCCGCAGGATGTAAGTTGACACAGGCTCTGCACTATCCATCATCTCCTGGGGCACCTTAAAAAAGCTACTTCCCAGACTGACAAAGAAGAAGCTCCTCGCCTGCCACCTGACCCTACGCGACTACCAAGGCAGAACCATCCCAGTCCTCGGAAAAGGCAAGTTTTTTATACAATTCAAAAATTTTAAAGGTTTAGTTGTAGTGGAGGGTGCCCTCCCTAGCCTATTGGGATTAGACTGGTTCCCTGCCCTTGGCCTCCACGTAACCGGCATCCACTCTATTTCAAATACTGAAGTGGATACCTTGTTCAAGGACTATGCTGATGTTTTCAGCAAGGGGCTGGGGTGTTACTCAGGAACCCCAATATCATTTAACTTGGACCCTCAGGCAGTACCAATCCGTTTAAAGCCTTGAAGGGTACCATTTGCAATCCGCCCAAAATTGGACAGTGAGCTGGACAAATTAATCAAACAAGGGGTATTGGAGCCTGTGGACTTTGCAAAATGGGAGGCTCCAATAGTTACACCCCTAAAGAAAGACGGCAGTGTGAGAATCTGCGCTGATTACAAGATGTCATTGAACAGATATTTGCAAATCAGCGCCTATCCAGTCCCTGTGATCCAACATCTTCTACATTCTTTTGAGCCAGGAACCATTTTCGCCAAATTAGACATGTCACAGGCCTATCAACAGTTCCCTGTAGATGACACAGCCACAGAACTGCAGACTATAGTAACGCACAGGGACGCTTTCAAATGCAGGCACCTCCAGTTTGGCGTAAGCGTAGCCCCTGGGATTTTCCAATCCTTAATGGAAAGACTTCTCCAAGGACTCCCAGGCGTAGTCCCCTACTTCGATGACATTTTAATATCGGCCATTGACAAGCCCCAATTACTGCAAGGAGTCAGAGCAGTCCTCGATTGTTTCAGACAGCATGGCCTCAAGTTAAAAAAAGACAAGTGCACTATTGCCACTAAACAAGTAGAATTTTTGGGTTATAGAATTGATGCCTCTGGTATACACCCAATTGAGTCCAAAGTCAGGGCTATCCACGAGGCACCCACACCTACTAACAAGACTGAGCTCCAGGCCTTCTTAGGACTTCTTAACTTTTATGCTGCATTCCTGCCTCACAAAGCTTCCGTTGCAGAGCCTCTACACAGAATTTTGGAAAACAATCCCCCTGGCACTGGGGACCTAGGGAAGCCCATGCTTTCCACGCTGTCAAATCATTACTTACTTCCAACGCAGTACTAATACAATTCAATCAACAGCTGCCTTTAGTTCTAGCTGCAGACGCTTCTCCTTTTGGCATAGGGGCTGTTTTAAGTCATAGACTGCCAAATGGTTCTGAGGCACAAATTGCCTTTTTCTCCAGGACCTTTTCCTCAGCCGAGCGCAATTACAGCCAAATTGACAAGGAGGCTTTCGCTGCAGTTGCTTCTGTCAAAAAATTCCATGAGTTCCTATATGGACACCATTTTGAATTGATCACGGATCACAAGCCTCTGTTAGGCCTTTTGTCTGGTGAAAAACAAATCCCTCAGATTTTGTCTCCAAGGATGACCAGGTGGACTTTATTTCTGGCTGCCTATTCCTATACGCTGGTTCATCGTCCTGGCAAAACCCTATGCCATGCTGACACTCTCAGTCGCTGCCCTCTGCCTGTTCCTGTGGAAGATCCTGCACCAATTAATGCTATTTTCGAGATCAACGATCTCAATCTTCCCATCACTGCCCTTGACATCGCTGCCCACTCCTCACGGGACAAGGTAATCGCCCAAGTTCTGGACTGGGTGGGAAGGGGGTGGCCAGCAATTCCATATGCCCCCGAATTCCTGCCCTTCAAAATTTGCCAGCAAGAACTATCATCTTTGCAAGGCTGTTTACTGTGGGGAACGAGGGTAGTTATCACTTCCAAGCTGCAGGGCTCAGTTTTAAAAGTCCTGCATGAAGGCCATTCTGGCATTGTCAGGATGAAGGCTCTGGCTTGCAGTTACGTATGGTGGCCAGGCATGGATGCTCAGATCACTAGTTGGGTGAACGCTTGTCAGCCATGCCAGGCTACCAGGCCTGCTCCACCCACATCTACTCCAGGCAGGTGGGAAGATTCTGGGGCCCCTTGGTCCCGGCTGCATATTGATCTAGCTGGCCCTGTTCATGGGCGAACATTCCTGGTAATGGTGGATTCCTTCTCAAAATGGATAGACCTGGCCTTACTGACCACCACAACTTCACAGGCTGTTACAAAGGCTCTAACTAAGGTATTCGTTACCCATGGCCTCCCTGACACCATTGTGTCTGATAACGACCCCCAGTTTACTTCCTGTGAGTTTGAGGTTTTCTTAGCCAACCTAGGGATCAGGCATGCCCTCACAGCTCCTTTTCATCCTGCTAGTAATGGCATGGCTGAAAGGGCAGTCAGGTCAGTTAAGGAGGCCCTGGAAAGGTTTGGCCCAATAGACTGGCACTCTAAGCTTTCTAGGTACCTTTTAACCCAACACACAACCCCCTGTGCCACTACCAACAAGTCTCCAGCGGAGCTCCTCATGGGCAGATGCCTGAGAACCACCCTAGACAGGCTCCATCCTCATTATGCCCCAGTCACCCCCCTAGGATCAGATAGCCAGGCAAGAGAGTTTGCTCAACATGACCAGGTCTATGCCCGTAACTATGCAGGTCACCCCTTATGGGTGCCAGGGCAAATTGTGGCAGTAACTGGTCCTAAGTCTTACAGGGTCTTGCTGCAAGACGGTCGCACCTGGCACATCGACCAACTTAGAAGGCGCTGGAGCGTGGCTACAGACGACCCTCGTTACATGCCAAACGAAACAGACCGGCTGACACACGCAGAGACTTCCCTGAGACACTACAAGCGAGTAAGCCTACCTGGACTACCGCCGGTTCCTTGCCCAGGGTCGCCCGAAGCCGAGACTCCAGTCCCTTCGGATACTGAAACAGCCCAGCAAGTGGAGGACTTCTTTCCCGCAGCAGCTCCACCAGAACTGAGATGATCCGGACGCCTGCGCAGGCGCCCGGCCTACCTTAAAGACTACGCATGCTCCGTGCTAGGGGAAAGGAGTGTAGCATTCAACAGACTAACCCGCAGTCTTCACTCCGGTCCGCGCTTCAAGCGGGAACACGGACTGCTCCTATTGGTTGATGCCGTTTGACAGCCGGCTATAAAAGGAGCTGTCAAACGGCATCAGCTGTTGCCGCCAGCTGACTGCCCTGTTAGCACGGCAGCCGCGGCAACCCTTTGTTCTTGTAATAAAGTTACAGTTGATGTTCGCTCCGAGTCTGCCTCAGTGATTACCGCCGCTCTACAACAGGTCTCTTTCATAATCTCTATATTTAAAGTGCAGGCTTTCTAAATTGTTCTAAGTAAAACTCTTAGCACACTTGTCTCATTCGTATTAGGTCATAAACTTGTTCAATCCTCTTATTATCTATTTTTCCAAGAAGAGTAGCTACTTATGGCTGTTTACTCCTCAGCCTGATTTAATCATACAGATGCAATGTTTTAGTCACATACATTGTTATGCTTTTATTGTATGAAAATAGAATTTCCACAAGTAAAATCATGCCTGCAAATCTACCATATTTATAAGCGTATAATACTTAGAAATTGTATCAAAGGTGGGGAAAGAGCTTATTCAAAACAAAGACAAAACAACCCACTTCATTCAACTGCATGTAAGGAGTGTCCTTTTTCATAGTTGATTCTGATGAAGTAAAAGAGATACATAAATATCAAATAACTCCTTTTTTTATGGATGTAGATCAGTATGAAGGAATGAATAAATATTTGGACTTCAGCTCTTTAGATGAGCCAGTTATGACCTTTCCAGATCATCTTACAGCTCATTGACAGGATGGCACTTCTGATTTCAGCCATCTTCCCTCTCCCCCCTTTTTTTGTCTAACATCTGAAAGGGGCTCTATTTTAATTCATTGTCACACTGGTTTATTAGAGAAAAAGACAATCAACATCACAGGAGGATTAACTAGAAATTAAAACAAATCCTCAATTTTGCAGGTTGGCACAATACTGAATAAACAAGTAGCATTGACAGGGACCAGATTTAGAACTTTTTTCTGACTATCATCCATCATAATGAAGAAGTCCTAGAGTGGGAGTTCCTTGAGACAAAGCTGCACTGGTAATTACAGCAGAAGATGCTGGAAAATGGTGCTGGCTGCAGCTGTTGACTTTCTCCATGAAGTTCTATGCAGTCTAGAAAGCCGGGCAAGGCTGACACTTTGGCCAACAGCAGGATACGCACCCCTTGCTCTGTTCTCTTTAGGACTTCAGGCAATCAGATGAGGTTCCCTCTCTGAAAAGATCTAGCCATTCAAACACCATCCCCCATGCATTAGGAATCAATTGTTTTTGTAAAGCATAGCAAAAATGTGAGGCATGTGTGTTCATTAATAAAGGGCAATAGCACTTTATCAAATGGTCAAATAACACTGGATATTGCATGAAAATAGGAAAGGCTAAATGTGCCTGGTCCAAGGATGCATTAAAAAAAGAAAAGAAAAATAACTATACTTTGGGTAATTTCATCCAGTTTTCATCAGACTTGATATCTTAATTGATTGACCAGACTTAATTTAATGGGATATTAAAAAGGGGAGAAAAATAAATCTAAGGTGGCTGAAAAGAGTTATAAGCTACTATTCTTTGGATATTTATTAACCCAGTTAAAGAAGCCATATGTCTGTCTATTAGTCTCTTTATCAGCTAACATAGAAAAACAAAAATAAAATTCTTCAAGAAGAATTATCTGCAAGGGTGTTGTTTTTAGTTTACAATCTAGGATATAAATATTGGAAATATAAGAATTTTAATAGCTGGTTGCATATTTAGTTTTATCTTACAAAAAAAAAAAAATACCATCCCAGCAGTGGTGGGATTCAATTTTTTTTTACTACCGGTTCTGTGGGCATGGCTTGGTGACGATGGCAGAGGAAAGATACTGTAAAATCTTCATTCCCTTCCCACTCCTGGGGCAAGGTTACTGTAAAATCCCCATATCCTCCCCACCCACTAACCTGCTTTCCAGCTCCGCTTTCTTGTTCAGGGCAACAAAAGAAGACCTAGTCAATCAGCTGGGACTCGGGAGACAGAGAATAGATGGGGCAGGCCAGTCAGAGGTGGTATTTGCCGGTTTTCCGAACTACCCAAAATTTCCGCTATCGGTTCTCCAGAACTGGTCAGAACCTGCTGAATACCATCTCTGCATCCCAGAGACAAACTTTAAGTGAACTTTTACAAAAGCTAACTCAGTTCTTTTTTTAACCAGTCTTAACTAAAAGGAAATGTAACATTTTAACAAGGGACACACAAAAGGTAAATCGCAAGCTTTTAAATAATATTACCATTGGTCCTTTAATTTAGTCTATTTTGGCCAAATAAGCTTTTCCATTAATGGAAGAAAATGGATGTTATATAAGGCAGCTGCCGATTATAGTTGGGAAGTAATCTTTTCACACTTTGTTAAGAAGTGCCTGCTGAGAAAGGTACAATAAGGAACTTTAAAAATTTTATAGTATTTTTGGAGCTCTGTGTGGCTTTTATGTCATCATCACTGGGGCTATATTCAAAAAGTGACTAGAACTTCCTTGTTGTAAATTTAACCTCTGGGCACATTTTCCTAATGCAGTTTGAAAGTAGTGTTGGAAGGAAAATCCACCTGATTCACTTCCAAGCTGGGAGAAAGACGCTGAAAATAACATGGAGGCTGATTGGAAAGGAAGTTTATTAATAAGCAGAACCAACAACAGCATGCAGTTCTGGGACAGCTGACCAATTGGTTTGGTTTTACATGGGCTTTTATACAGTTTTTTAAAACATAATTTTATAATCTGGAGGCTTGCTTTGTGTGTTTTTATTATTGGATTGGTTCTACTTGTTTCACAAAGGTTCATGATGGGTTTTAATCAGGGATGTCAAACTCACATTGTCATGGCGGCATTATGTGACGTATCAGGACTTTTTCCCCCTTCACTAAACCGAGTGTGGGGCGTGGCCAGCATGTGAAGCATCTGGTTCATGGGCCAGGAGTTTGACAGCCCTGGTCTTAATTATCACTTTCTTAGTCCTAATCCTGTCAGGGTTGTATAATTGATTTTATCCTGTTATCTATTGCCTCTAGCCTGTCTTTCTAAATGGACAGGCATTGTTTTCACTTTTCTCAATGAATGAGATTAAGGTCCTGTCCTGTCCTTAATCCCATCATCTGGAGGTGAAGGTATTTTGTGAAAAGGCTGGCCCAGGATTTTTTAATGGGCATGTGCTGTAGGCTATTAAGATAGACTGGAGGCTGCTTCCTCCTTTAAGAGTCTTTGTCTCCATTTCTCCCTTTGGGAAATATAATATTCTGGTTCTTTTAATATTCCCCAAAACATTTCATTCTTCTAAGAGGGAGGGGTGCTTCCCATGGTAGTGTTTTCTTCTTATGTTGCCTTGAGTATTTTATTTCCATATAGCAGGACTATCAAACATCCGGCCAGTGGGCCAGATGCATCATGCACTGGTCACACCCACGCCTAGTTTAGCAAATGGGAAAAAGTCCAGATACGTCATGTGATGCTGCCGTGATGACATGAGTTTGACACTCCTGCCATATAGGCTAGTTTTAGCAAATTAGCAATGGGCTATTTTGCAGAGTAAGGAGCACTTCTTCAGCTGAATAAATGTTAACCATTCCCTCTCGTTTAGACCTTTTATCACTGTAAGTCTTGTCTTGTAAATCAAAGTTTGCTGGTTTGAAGAAGCATATAATGTTTTTAATTATTATTATTCTTTCTGGATCTCCTATTTTTCCTGTGGGTTATTCTTTTTCAATAACTTCAGTTCCACCCTTTTTCTCAGCCATCTAAGATAGAAAGTTTTCACTCTTAGTTCTCAGTCCTTACTATGCATCTTCTGGGATATCCAATAAACATGGATATGTTTAATTAGTTTAATTAATTTAATCAATTCCCTCTTAAGATCATAAGATACTGATGAAACATTCTTAAAAATTCTAGCACTGATTTGTCAAAACAAGATATGCCAAATTCTTTGTAGGTTTCCTGTATTACCATCAAGTATATTAGTTATGCTTTCTTTTCTTTTTCTTATCAATGCCTTACATTTCCTTGGCTTTGCTATGTTCTGCATGACTTTGCTTAACATGAAATAGAAAATGTATATATGCAAGTTTATATATTCTAATATGTCAAGGTTGACTCATATTCTGTCGCCCCTGCAATTCTTCTCGTAGTTTGACAACAGAAACAGAAAGGAGGGCATGGAATTCTTGGAGGAGTTGGGTTGG